CACTGCCCGGCGTCCCCCTCCCCGGCGCCCTCCGAGCAGCCTCGCCAGGCCCCGCTGGCCAGTCGGGGCGAAAGCCGAGCGCTAAGGCCCCCCACCCGCCCGGCAAGCCCGAGGGGCGAGGCCGGGCCCCGCCGGCGGGCCGCTCCGCACCGGTGCTCCCCGCGTTGGGAACGGCTGCTTGGCGCGGGCGGGGGGCCTGCGCTCGGCCCGCGGGGGAAGGAGGCGGGAGTGGGGCCCCTGTGGCATCCCTGCCCCGCGGGGGCTGGAGCCCCAGTTGCAGCGTCCCCCTCGTTGCCCCTTCTCGCACCCTGGTGCCGAAGGCGGCGAGAGTCTGGCGGTGCGGGGCTCTGGAGGGGACCAGGGTGACCAGGCAATGGCTCCCCGTGGGTGCCTCACCCCGGCATCTGGCTGTCCTGCACATGCAGGGTAACACCCAGCCCCTCAGCTGGCCGTGCATGCGTTTGTGGCTTCGCAGGTGGAGGTGCCACGGGATGGGAAGAGCGGTCTGGGTGACAGGGGCTGCCTGGGGGCCCTGCGATTGCTGTAACAGGGTGCAGTGACCCACCGCCCCTTCTCACGCTCCCGTAAGGGTTCTGTAACTCACGCACCCACGCACATCCATCTGTTCAGATGCACCAGGAGAGTAAGCGTCGCGTGAGTTCTTCAACAGAGAAAATGTCAGCTGTGCTTTCCTCACAGACAGTTCTGCTGCCCTCTAACACAGTGAAACTACCTCTGAAACGCAATGAGCCATTTCCTCCCCTCGGATAAACTAGATCCAAATGTCTCCTGGGGCAAGGACACAGTCTTCCAGGTAAAGCCTAGGGTACGCAGCTCTGACTTTGTCAGTCTCTCTGCATGACCTTGAGCAACTCGCTCAGGTGCTGCCTACTACTGAACTACCTCGAATGGTTACACTCTTTCTCTCCCTAATTCTTCCATCTTTTCCGTAAGAGAAGGTAAACCGCCTGCCCGCTTCGCAGAGCTGTTACCAAGTTTGAGTAATTATTTTCTGTGGTGTGAATAGCTCAGATGGGCGGTGCTATTGAAATACAAAGTATGGCGTTAATGAAAGGCATGCTGCATGCAAACACTAGATGTTGCTGTTGCTACAAATTGAATGCGAAGTGATCGCTTCAGCAACGTCAAAACCAGAGAATAACGAACGCTCTTTAGGAAATAACAGTTTACCGTCCCACCAGAAATACGACAGTATCACCAACAGGCTTTATCCTGGATGTCGGAGTATAGTTCCCTTTTCTATCCCTGCCTGTATTTGCTGTGATGGCACTCAGAGGCACAAGTATAGCCCATGACAGGTTAAGCCTGACATAACACCATGCTTCTCAATAATTTTACTAACTACAGTCCTAAGAAAACCATATCTAAAATGTAGAAAAATTTTTGCTTTTCTTTAGCAAAAATAAAATTTATCTTTTTTTTTTTTTTTTTCCCCCAATAATGTGCATGAACTGAAGTTTTGGAATGGTGCAGAGAATGCATTTATTTGAAGTGGGGTTCCATATCCCAAATTTTGTTAGTGTAATTCTGAAACACTCTATGATCTTGTAGCATTTTAATACACAGAAAATCTGGATTATTGAGGCCAGTCAAATCACTGTGAGCTGAGGATACTTCAATGAACTAGGGATTGGGTCAAATCCTGATAGTGCTTTCAAGAATTAAAATGAGAGCACCTCTCACAGGTTAATTATAGACAAGTAAAATCCCACAGGTGATAAACAGTTTGTACCTTTATGCCTTATACTGGAAGGAAAATTTAAATCCTGGTTTTGTATTTGGATATCTCTTATAACAATGGATTCCTCCATCATCATTACATGGGTGTTTTTAGGAGGTTTTTTTTCTCCTACAAAGCAATTAAACTCCCCATACTGCCAGTCACTCTTCATTTGACATGTACCTCTGTCCCTGGTTTCAGTGTGGTCACTTAGTGAGCACTTGAACATTTACAAGCTCTTCCATGAGAAACATCTGGAAGACCATTCACTTGTGGGTCTGCCACTTTAGTGCTTGTAGGATTGTAACCTTAAAGTATTCATTCTTAGTAAATGAGGTGGTATTATAAACATCACATTTTTCTCCCATTGAGACAGACTAGAACTGAAATCATGCAAAATATATTTTATTTTCCTTTTATTGAGAAATTTGAGTTTAGATACATTTAGACACACCCTTGTGCTTATATTGAAGACACAGAGTTCACTGTAATCAGCACTTTTATGTCTCTAGAAAGAACATGATGATTCTTCAACCGTGGTAGTGGTGGGGATGTGTTTTGATCAGGGCCCAGCTGCATGAGGTGTCATAAAACTTGCAGCAAGACTTAGACCATTCCACAAAGAACTTGCAGCATGTAGAGGTAAAAAAGGAGATGAGGTTTGTAACAAGGCATCTGGGGTCATCACAGTGATGGTAGCATATCACGTCAGTGCCACAAAACGTGCCAAACTTACCCTCTACCAGACTATGGCCAGCTCCTTTAAAAAAACCAAGACTTACCACTCATAAAAAACTCTAGTAATTATACTAGTTACCCATAATTTTTAAGCAATGCTGAAAGCACTGAATACTTTTCTCCCTCACCTTGCAACTCGCCTGAAACATGAGCTTTTGGCCTGTTTTGAATGCTGTTCTGCACCTGCTAGTCAGTAATTGCACCCGTCTGTTTCCCTTTGGCTGAGCCTGGGATTCCCAGACTCGCATGGGATAGTCCCAGAGGAGCCAGGGTGTAGCTGCAAACAAGTTCCTGACCTCTGTAAAAAGTTTATGTTATTTACAAGAAGTGGAGGAGTTTTCCTCTCGTGGTGCTCAAGTTAATGTCAGAGAACGTGGCACAAAAAAGCTACGATCCAACTCACCTCCCCGTTGCTACTGTGTTTTTGTTCCTGCAGCTGCTGAAGGAAGGGTTTTGTTTGTTTTCTCTCTCCCAGGGGCTGCCCTTTATCTTCCATGGGAACAGTTGGTACTCTTGCTGAATGTAATTCACCTGGTTGTTTTCCATACCTCTGCTCCATAAGCAGTTCTGCTTGGGCAGGTAAGTTCAAGTGCTCTGTCACACTGACTCCCTGGAGACTAAGCCTTTACAGGCAGAGTGACCCACCCACTAAAGTCTTGCTGCCTAGGGAAGACCTGAGTCATTTTCCCATTAAGAAAAGGGTTTTTCACTCAGTGGCAAGGGGACAGAAAACATTTCTTTTTTTTCTCCAAACTGGAAAGAATGATTGTAAAACCACAAAAATGGTTAGGGGAATTCAGAATAGGAACAGGAGCAATATTAATCGAGTTAGGCGACTGAACTCACTCACCTTAGCATCAGGACACTCTGTTGAAAGCTCTTCATAGGGACATTTGCAAAACCAAGCACCTATGCCTACGTCTTCCTGCCCTGCAAGGGAGGTTTCAATCTAGCATTGTTATATGATAAAATGATTAATCTTTATGATTTTATTGTGCATGTGATAATTCTGGGGTGCTCATGTTGTTCTAGTTTATTTTCCATGCTACCATGGTAATTTTTTGCAACAAGGGAACAAAACCACAACTAGGTGCTTGTAGCTTCCTTGGCAAAATATCTACACTTTTTAAGTGCAGATTTAAAAAAATCTACACTCTTTTAAGATACCCTAGAAAGCCTGAAAAATTAATTTAAAGGTGAGCTATGATATGATTTTTATAAGTTGGTGAAATAAGCACTAATCTGTGAGGCTTTATATTAGAAAAGGTGATGTGGACTCACCTGGACATTTGACTGTTTTAGAGGTTGTCCATGAAATGTCAATGGTTAAAAGAACTGGTTTGGGAAAATACGTGAATAATAGACATGCTTTGGTGTAGGTAGTACTAACAGATGAGCTTTACCATTTCACACATTGGCAGAGGAGCAGTTAGAATGTTGCACTGAGACTCGGGAGATTTGGGATCTATTTTCAGCTCTGCGTTGGGCCTGCTGATTGGCTTCTAATTATTCTGCGCCTCAGTTCCCCCATCTGTAAAAAAGCAAGAATGAGACCAACATCCTTTATAAACAGCTTTAAATTCTGTTGATGAAACACACTTTATTAATAGCAATGATACCTTCTCACACAAGCTGGCATTAAAAAAAAAATGGTAAATTCACAAATGTCAGTCAAATCATGTTAATGTGCAAGTGGCTATGGAGAAAATAAAGAAGAGGAGGACCATCATGCCTGCTCCATCACTGCCGTGGAAAATGAGATGTTAACTTAGACTCACCTCTGGAGTCAGAATGGCAACATACACACAGTGAATGAGGTGTTGGTCCATATTCTTGAGGTCTGTCAGAGAAATGCCCAATAAAATGGCATAATCAGCAGAGATCATTGACTGAACAGATCAAGAACATGAACCACCCTCTCAGCCAGGACTGAAAGTGCACCTTCAAGTGAAAGACCTCTTTTCCTTCAGTTTAAACTTGGGCTAGATATTGGCCTGAGTCATAGCGGAGCAGATCTCCAAAATACTCAAGTCAGAGGTATTTCTGCATAGCTGAGACCCCAACCTGCCATGCACTCACCACATGTAGATCTTCATATCCGCCTTGAACTGAAATTAGCTGTCTTGTGCATGGATCCAAGGATCTTGCCCCATAAGCATATTGCAGCATTCTGTGTTAGACAGATGCCTCAGCAGATTCTGGAGGGCCACAGTTTACTCATTACCACAAGAGGGAAGCCAATACCAATAATATAACTTTATTCATGTATTAACTATGGTTATTATGGCAAGGTTTTTATCCATTTCAAGGCTGTTGCATGTCTCCTTCTCTTTTCTTGTAGCAAACTTGCATTTGATCGTATGTCAGAAACTAAAGAACATTATTCTACATTCCATTTGCTCAATGTCCTGTGAAATGAATTTCATGGATTTGCCTGTCTCGTTTGAATGGCAAATACATAAACCTGACAGAGAAAGTTGGGATGAAACTAAGCTGGTTGCTTTCTTAGCAAATTTAAACAGTCCACATGCAAATAAGGGGAAGTTCGGTGGGCATGGCACTTGAAAAAATAAAGATGGTGTTTTCCCTCATTTGGGTGAGCATGAGAAATTAAAGACTATTTTATGAGTCATAGACATAACTATTTCTAGTAGTTCTTACCCCATAGTAAGGATAAATTAATTCAGCAGGTCTTCTGACTCTTGTTAGCCTGTTTTGCAGTGTATGTGAGCACCTTCTTTATGGATTCATTTATTATGGCAAACCTGATCTTACTTACTCTGCTGCAAATCAGAGTAACTCTGCTGATTTCAGGAACTTCATTGAATCACTTATCTGGTGGTATGGTATCTGTGAAAGTCACCCTTGTTCAGATCACATGCTGAAGGCTTAAACTTGATAGGTCAAGATTTGTTGTTACATTTCATTTTGCAGCCAGACATTATAATATGCATGCAGCCTTTTGAAAAATGTCTTTGTGAAGTGGTGAAAGCAGTGCTTTTGCGAACAGGGATTTTTAAAATAGTCTGGGTGTAGCGCAGAAACTGAATGGGGATTCATCAACCAAATTTCTTTGGTTGATGTTTTCCTTGTCTGTCTTCTAGATTGCTGCAAGATATAAATATTTGAGAGTCACTGTTCAGAAGATTTCTGTAGAGCATTGCTGACATATGACACTGGATAGAGATCATAATTCTTGGTGTTTGGAAGTCACAATTTTTGAGGAACAGCAGAAATGTGAAGCCAGCAGAAATGCAGAAAAATACATATGTTGAGGCTTCCTGTGAAGACCCCTAGGGTGTTCCCTGCAAGTGCAGGAGAGGGAATCAGGGCAAGGTTGTGAAAGTCACAGACATAGACAGCAGTCCCCAAAGGACATTTGCATAACTAGCTTCTTTGTTAATTTAAAAAAAAAAAAAAAACTTTAGGAGTATTTTGGGTATTTTGTTCTCCACACCACCACACTCCCTGTACAGCAGTCATACCTTAAAATGCTTTCCTAGAGGTGCTGCTGGTCCCAGAGAAATTGTCAATTGTTTCCTTAAAAGGGGAAACATAGCCGGAAATATTACTGTCGCCCAAGTGGGCAGACACCTTTCACAGACCCTCACAGTACATTGCTGTTCAGGTATTCCCACACTACTTTTCTTTCTTCTTTCCCTCCAATGCTGTTTTAGGCCCTGGTCCTGCATGTAAATATGCATGCATTTAACTCTAAGTACATGAGCAGTCACACTACCTCCAGTGAGACTATTCACATGACTAAAATCATGCACTTGCATAGAGATTTCCTGAATGAAGGGCATAAAAGGAAATGGCCAGGTTAAAAATAATGGGTTGGTTTTGTCCCTGATGTAATGCCTTTGACACTAGTGGAATTATACAGGGCTGAAATGGATCCAATATGTCCAAACAAAGAACTATCTCCAGCTCTCTCACCTGCCAGTTTCCGTATCTATGTTTATGGCGTAATCAAAGTCAATCCTCCTTTCCCTGTGCTTGGGTGGCTGAAGCTGGGGGGGAATTCAGATTGCTTTGCACCGGTGGGAGCTGCTCTCCTTCAGGACAGCATCTCCCCAGGTCCCAGGTGTGTTTGCCCTGCAGAGCTGTTATGCCCATGGAGCTTCACCAGCGCCTGTATTCCCTGTGTCCCTGTTGCATGGTCACTGCCACAGGGTGTAGCTGGGGTGGCTAACAACAGAGCAGGTCTTGCCTGTCCTGCTACTTACCTGCCTCTGTCCAACACTGAGCCATTCTGTGGCCTTAGCAGGATCTGCTGATCTTGGGGCGACAGCCCCTCTTGTTTCGATTGGTGTCTAGGTTGCTTCTCTTTGCCTCCTGCACCAGTGCTGCTTTGTTCTGTGTGGGTATTAAACACTCCAGATGAATGCTCGCACTTGAAAGCAGCTGGTATGTAAACATTAAAAACAACAACAATAATAATAAAAAAAAGGTTGTTAGGTTTAGAAGAAATCCCTCTTAAAAATGTTTCTCCCTCCTTTCCGTGGCTGTCCTGCCCCGTGCCCATGTGGTATTTGGGATTCCCCAGCCCGTGCCGTTGTGAAACTCTGACCTGGGACCTGTGTGAGGCTGAACTCACACCTGCAGCTAGACTTCTGTGCAGCCCGTCTATGGTTTCCTCCAGATCACCAAAAGTGTGTGCCATACCTGCGTGCTCACCTAAATACTCACTAACACGGGATAGACCTCTGAACGTCAAAAGTTAGAGAGTCAGGAGAGAAAGGGAAAAGAACCCACCCCAAAACGCAACGCTGAATAAACAACCTCTAGCATCTAGGGCTCATGACTGCTTTTGACAAGATCTATCTTTAGTTATAATAGTGAGTCACATCATTGTGATCTGACTTTACGGTTAGTTTGAGGTATGAGCCAGGCCATGGGACTGAGAGTGAGAGCGAGAGCATCATGGGATGTAGCTGTAAAATTCCACTACTCGCTACTCTCTAAATCAGGTTTGAAGAGCATTAAGAAACAGGAAGCGTGGGGGGCGGGGCGGGGGAAGGCATTTTTTTAGTGGAAAATTATTGCAGCGCACGGTGCATCGTGATGTAGTTCATCAGTGCAGGGAGAATAATAGGGGAGGCGTATTAGCAATCGGAGACGGCCATAATAGTCTTGAGCAAAGCACACCTCTCTCCGCATAGCTCTGTGTGCAAAGTGTCACGTCTAACCCACCCCACCAGCCACCACAAGCTAATGCAGGATTTTCTTGGATGGTGCTGTGTTGCTTAGCAACATTGCTAGGCAGCATGCTATACATCATGCACAGCGCTGGCTACTATGGTGTAGCAGGGCTGCTTCCAGTTATTTTTCTCTGCTATAAAATATTAATTTTCTGCTCGCCAGCAGATGCGGCACCAGGAGGTTGAGGGACGCTGCCTCCCGGGTGGACATGTGCAGCTCCTGTTGACTGTAATGGGAATCACAAGCAGCCTCAGGCTGAGCTGAGCTCCCGGTGTGTAAAATGTGGGCACAATTCCTGAGATACAAACACTTGCCATACCTGAGATGGCACAGAGGTTGGCTTTAACATAAATAAATAAATAACAAGGCAGTGAAGGCGGTGTGACAGACAGAACAATACATGTAACATGTACTGCCCTACACCTTTTTTCCTCTGACTGGCATAAGCAAATCCTATTGTGAGGACTGTGTGTTTGTGTACACAAAGAGAGGGACATTTACTCCACATTCTGGGATATTTTTGAGGGCCCTCCATGCCTCATCCATTGTTGGATGCGAGCTCATATCACAAACACCAGTGGTGGTTTTTTAGACTGATGAGTGTGATTTCAGTGGAGTCTGCCTGCCAAGCCCCCTCCCCAAAATGATTGCATAACCAGCTGTTGCACGCACACACACACACAAAAAAAGAGAAAACCAGTTCTATTCTATAAGAAGCTGAGATGTTATTACAGAAGGCAAACAACAGAGAGACTGGTCCCCAGAGCTACAGAGAAGATGGCATCTGCAGCTCACTTCAGGTGTGCAGACCCAGAACCAGGAGCTGTCTTGTCTGAGCGCAAAAGAGGCCTCTGCAAAGGGTCTGCACAGGACAGGGTTTGAATAGTTCTGAAATCTCTGCACCTACAATGTTCATTTTTTGGACATATCATTACTGATACTGTTAGCAGCAGGTGGCAAGAAGGGGGGAATGCAAAAGAGCTGGTAAAAGGCAGCAGATAGTTTCTGGCATCTGAACACGGTGCTTTTCTTCTGCACATCAGTGGACAGACTCATTGTTTGAGCCAAGCAAAGAGGGAAGCAAGAGAGGAAAACCACACTGTCAAAATACACAACGGTTTGTGAGATGAACAGCTGCATTACCCTCCATTTACACTGGCAGATATGGCAGCACTGATGGAGTCAGCAAAACTGTGTTTTGTCCAACAATTATTTTTGAAGAGAGCAGGAATTTAGTTTTAGCTTAACCCACTCTATTGTGGGCACACCTTACTGCATCTTGGGGTGTATGGTGGAACCAGATAAATCAGACTTTTCTACAATAGAGTGGTATGTCTTTGCACTACAGATCCTGGAGGAGTACAGCAACTGCAGTTTGATAGAGAAACTGTTCTCGTGGCGTTCAATGGCATTTGTCCAACAGCAGAACAAAGACAGCGACAGAACTTCCATTTCACGTTTTTTTACCAAATCGCGGCAGACTGAAGCAAATTCAGTGCCCAAGGCTCAGCTCCTCTGTCAGGCTCCTCAATCTTTGTTTGTACATAAAGCCAATTTAATCCTAGGAGATGTTCAGAATTTGCGCTGAAAGCAGTACATGTAACTAACACTTTGGATTGAAAACTACTGCTACAGACAAGTAAAATATCATCCCTCTTATACATGTGCTTCAGGCACAAGTGTCATCCACAAGCCTGTCCTGGTTTTGCAGCCTTTTTTGTCAGGTGAGATAAAAAAGAATATTTATAATCTGTCTTTTTTTAACCTGAAGGACTTGAATTGGAATGATTGCCCAGTTTTATTGCTAGATTTTTAGCAAGATATTTCTTCCATAAAATGCTTCAACAAATATTGACAGCAGTCACAGTAAAATTTAAGGTGTACAAAATAT